AAAATTAGAGGAGGATACATTCTAATTAATTTTATTTTGTAAATACGACAAAACCTAGAGTAATTTCATAATTAGCACACATTTGCTGGAAAATATAGAATTCTTTCTTTTCTAACTCTCTTTTTGATCTTTTGTCTTGTACACGGACACAGAATAGATATAAAAGACAAGAAAGTAAGATAAGAATGAATATTATATTTTTATAGGATTATTCGTAAAACAAGACAACATTCACTATGAAATTACGCTTTATTCTGTCAACTTTACAACCTAAAGTAAAATTAACTAGAATGTACTTAACTGTGAATTTTACGTTCATCTGAAGTACACAAGTTATACTTTATGTACTGATCAGCTTTAGTCAATTAAATTGTTCGTTGCTGATATTAAAGTCTTTTCCTCACAGCCAGCTGTTAAAACACTTAGATCATCCAGGTAGGCAACTGCATATTTCAGAAAATCCATATATAAAATCATTTTCATAAGAGCATTTTCTATAAATAATCCCCGACATTACAGTGTAGTACAACCTGTGTATTTCAAACTAGTTTAAAAAGTGGAAATATAGATCCTCTCTAGGTAATTGAATTTTAATTCGTGAGGTTGGCTGGATATAGGATAAATTCATAGCGAGCACCAGAGCTCCGTATGGATTGGACTGAAAATTTTTTAGGTCATGGACTCGGACTGGACTGGACTCAAACTTTCAAGACCATGGACTGGTCTGAACTAGAAAAACATTTTGAATTCACTTGAATCGGGGAAAAACGGATTGTTTTTCTATAGTGGACTGGGTTGGACTACTTTTTTAGAGTCCATGCCCTGAAAAAACTGTTTTTCATGGACTCGGACTGGACTGGACTAGAGTTTTTCAGCCCATGGACTGGACTGGACTCAGAATTTTGCGTCCATACGGAGCTCTGATGAGCACTCCTGCTTTCGAACATAGAATAAATGAACACATCGATAAAAGTATAAACTTTTTTTTAAGCTTTTCCAAAAATGTTCCGTTAATTTTTGATATGTATCAAATATTTCCAGCAAGTGTTGTAACGGGGAAAAGAAAAGGCAAGAAAACGAAACAATTCCAATTCAAATTATATAAGAAAAGAATGCTTAACTTGATATAAATTGAATTGAAGGATTCAGGGTGACTGACAAGTTAAAAAAATTTTACTTCCACAAGAGACACCGTTACCAACAGAAACAGAGAAAAAGAAAGGCTACAGTGGAAAAAAGGAACTTAATGCTTGTTGTTTTTTCAATAATTATTGTAACCGATTGGTGCAAAAATAAAGATCTGATGCCATGATCCTTGAAAATTGTTGTTTTTCCTTATCAGTCGCACGCAATATGATGACACAATTTGTAAAAAAATTAAAAACTTCGAGTCCATGATTATACGTTCTTTATCCAATCTCACGATCTCTTGTACAATCGCTAACCCAGATACATTATACGAAAAACCCACAAGAATGGAAGGATCGAAGAGCTTAATATAAACATAAGGAGAGCAAAATATTATAACGATTATAATCGCTAGTACATAGACAATTATCATCTCATCATTATCTATGCATAGTATCAAATGACTATATCTCAACAAACCAAGATAGATTTTGAAATATCAAATAAGTATGACTCTGGCAGTCAGATGTGTGAAGAAAAGTCACGTACAGATGAACGAAATATGTTTACCATTATTCTTCATTAATGCTTCATTAGGCATTAGTTTCCAACCTAATAGATCCTAACAGGGGCACTTACTTAATAGTCTGGGATAACTACTTTTTTTCTTTTTTCTTTCTCTTCTTGTTAGAGTTCGCCATTACACAGTTTTCTATCCTGTCAACAGCTATCCGTCTTCTACAAGAAAAGCTCTTTAGCTACAACCGGGTTCACAAGACAAAAACTTACAAAAGTGGATTTTTGAAGTCTTATATTCACGGGTTTAACTTTTAGGACGCTTTAGTCACTATAAAAACCCTCAAAAATGGTTTTCTGGCACTAAATACAGCCAATTTTCCTTTTAATTAATCAAAATAATGATGAAAAAGATGGCACTAATGATAAAATCTTTTTCAAACTGTCAGGCTCTTGAAAAATGGTAAATATCAATAATGTTGAGTCAAGATCTTGAATCAAACTAATTGAGAGTGACAAAGTCTTGAGTCAGGACCGTCAAGATATCTTGATCTATGCCTAGTTCTAGAGAATCAAATATCGTCTGGAACGCAGTACTGAATCACCTCTAGTATGATGGTACTAGTGGCGACTGAGATAAGGGGCACCCATCGTTGTGTGGGCCACCGATACCCCACCATTCAGAAAACGAAATATTTCGGTTTATAAATGAGAAGTAAATAATAATTGTTGCAATGGCAACACCGATATCCATGCCCGATGAAAACAACAATCCATATCGATTCCACCACCATTTGTGAATAACTGTGGAAAAGAAAAATCCAATGAATAGCCACGTTGGAACCGTTCCGGCAGCCATTGTTGGTATTAAACTACCAACGAAAAATATTAGAGGAAAATGAACATGTTTTAACCATTTTATTCTGTGCCAATATTTTTCGTTTAATAGCCAAAATGGGATTGGAAGTAATGCACCAATCAAGAAAAACCATAACATGCTCGAGTAAATACCGGTAGGCGGTATGAATGCAGTTTGACTCGATAAAATGTTTTCTCCCCAAAGTGAATCAACTGAGACCCATGAATGGGTTGTATGTGGGCAAGTCCAGTTCACGTTATTCACACAGATATCCTTGATATTGTTTAAGAAATAATCTGCCATTGCATAGCTTGTTAAAACTGACACACTTGTACCAATAACAACTGTGGAAAAAAGTGCTCTTGGTGGTATTTTCATAAAATGACTCAGTTTTAAATACAAAATAAGTGTCAATGCTTGTATTTGTGTCTGTATGACAAAAGTTTTAAATGTAAGAAACCCAATGGGATTGTCACTTATAGCCACAGCACCAATAATGTAGCCGATTGCTTTTATATTTAATATCTGATTAGTCTTTGCTGCTAGAATACCTGTGGGTAAAATATATACCAATGCTACTCCAACACCCGCACATACAAAATACCATTTCATAAAATGTCCCAAATGCATCACAATACACGCACAAGTAAAACTGAGAATAAAAACACTTCCATACCACCATTCAGGAACTTCCGGATATTTTGACATTAATTTACAATGTATATCATTGTCTCTACGATATAGGGATGTACGAAATTGCTTAATGATGTCTCGTCCATGATATAAGACAGTATGAATAAGAATCGACGATAGTGACGCAAAATACATACCATAGAATAGAATCGTACCTGTACTTGCATGAAGCACGAAGTTATTTCCCGTATCTACTAATACAGTATCGAAGGTAGCAATTGGAAGTGTTTTCGAATTCCAGAGATTCGTATAGTAGAAAATAGGAATAATTATCCAACTAAACAAAACAAAACCTATGAGTATATTTGCTTGTGCCCAACGTGGTGTAATTATCGGTGATCCAAGGTATGACGTCAATAATTTCCAATCAAACTGAAATGAGCCCATACCAAGACCATAGTGACCCGTCAATTGAGATAAGATGATATTCTTAGGGTTTATCAAGCACATCCATGAAAAGGCTGTTAAAATAGGCATTATATATCCCGGTAACCAGTGATAGATGGTCTCTATGAAACAAATAATAATAAAAAATTGTAGCCGACTAATCGACCATCGGGACGGTAATACCATATGATCAACTGCATCTTTCTCATGCAGTGTTCGAAACAGTGCTATATACGGTAAATTACCCGGCCAAATTAATTTTGATGGCCATACAAGAAATCGTCGCATAATACCTAAAATAGATGCGAGAACACATTTGTACGCAGAAATACGACCAAACATTCTTGTAAATCGTTCGCTATCATTAAAAGGATAGTTTACCGGCAATACTGTAGCCAATTAGTTGAGATGATAAAATGAAGAGAACATTGACAATAAAATTTAGTTTTATGCTATAAACTGTTCTCATAACTGTAACAGTATCAATTGCATATGTTGTTTGTGCTGCACTGACCATTACATAAATTAAAACATGTTCTTTGATAGAGAATGGACCTGGATTTAATGAAAAATCACGATTGATTAATGGAATGTACCAGGTTTTTGCTGGTAGTATCTTATGCATTAACCTCCCAATTGGATACGATAGAACAATCACAAGCATCGGTGGAATTGAAAATGTGTTTGTTCGGAAGTAACAATATTGATTTACAATCGAGAAAATAACAGTTAAAAATAGACCAATCAACCATGTACGAAACGTTAAGCATAATATGGATAAATCATCTCTGTTCGATACGATAGATAAAATTTCTTCGTAGGAACATTGCTCAGCATCAATGTAATCATTCTCAACATCTGTTCTTGGTCTCGTTTGACTAGTTGGTTCCGTCATGTGTGAGAGATCCATCTAGTTAACACTAATTAGAAAGGGATTGTCACCAAAGTTTAACAATCATTCAGAACTAGCCGCATTTTTCTAATAAAGCCAAAATAAGGATTTTCTTTAAATACATTACACACAATGATGTATCATCCTTTGTTTTCATCCGTGCCTTAACTGACAAGCTTAATCATGTGTAACCAGCGTAATATCACACAAACACATTATTTTATGTTTCTATTCATTTTATCTATATAGGATGAAAACTATGTACTCTGAAGTATTACTCAGATCCCAAGGCATACCCTTTTAAGAGAGAGACGAGAAGATTTAAAAATCTAAATCCATTATGTATTTTATGCCTGATGCGAGAAGTTTGTATAAAAAATGTATCAGAAATCTGTTACGAGTGGGTTAGAAGTTTTGTTGTTTTGTCAGTTTTCAATTGTTTTTATATTCTCAGTTCTAAAAATATATTCTCAGTATTGTTTCTTTAGAGATATTAGGCACCACCACTGATAGTATCTTATTAAAACTAGATGATAATGACCCATCTTTAAATGATTTTGAATTACAACAACAAAAATATATTTGAATCTGATCATAATCATATTCTTTTCGAGCATCCAAATGATATTTGTATTGAATTAATGATAATAAATTCTATGGTAAAACGATTAGATAACTAAAACCATACACAAGAGTTGGAAACGTACTCATCTACTACGAAGATTCTTGAAAACTTATCTTTGATTTCATTCACAGGCTATTCAAACAGAATAGAGAGCCTTTGAAAGGATAAACTTTAGCATTATTTGATTAAGGTCCCACCCCCGTCAGAAACCTATTTCTGAAAGTATATGTCCGATCTTGACTAAACTCTTACGAGATGCGGATCTTGTGAAAGTATGATGATGAAATTTTTGTTTGGCTCCATCAAACATGGTTTGTAAGGTGTCAATTTGGAGCTGCAGGATTTTTTAGTTCCGAAACGTTGTGGAGAGCTCACGCTGATCTTTACTTGACGAAAACACTTGTGGCTAGAGGTTAATAGAGTCGGACTTTTGATATTTTACTTTTCAAGTTAGTGGTCAGCTGAAAAGTCTAAAATTCGAAAAAGTCCCATTAACCTGCATGAAGATATTTTTTCAACCATAAATCCAAACCAAATATCAAAAATTGGTCTTTATTAGCGTCTAGCCACATATGTCAACTGCAATTTAGGACCTTCCCGACCTCTCTGCTATATTTCTTTACCGAGAAATGAAGCTACGAAATGATGTTAAGGTGAAAGTGGCTTTCGACGGTGCCGCCAGTATTTCATGCAAGTTTTAGGGCTTCCACCAAAACTTTTATAACTCTTGATTAAAAAATCATAACTGGGAGATATCTCATTTTGATCAGAAATGTTTGGTCTATTTCCGGGCGTAATTAAAAGTACGTTTGCATATGTTTTTTAATTGGAAAGTAAACTGTCTTCAAAAGTCAGCTTTTCAAGGTTTTCAGAAAAGTTTTCTAAAAACCTTCATACCCCTTCGATGAGGACCAAATAACATTGGATCCTGATAGTAGATACTGTGGACTGTCTGAAAAAGCACTTGGCTTAATATGGACTTTTAGTAAAAAAATTTATGTTTCTGACAGAGTGGGAGAGTCCTTAAATCACTGTCTAGTGTAGTTTGAAGAGACTTTTACTAACATCATTTGTCTATAGTGAGATAAATTTTTTGAATATTAAATTGAATGAATTAGTGATAGAAAAAGAAATGTTCTTATTCACTTTTATTCACTTTTGTTGAGCAGAACATTTTTCATGACTATAGTTCCCACAGGAATAACAGTTGACATTTCATGGAATAATACCTAGAAAAGTAACAGAACGAATGTCGACTGTTATATTGCTTATTACTCTCTTCCTTAATTCTTCAATGTTTTGAGGATGTTCCTCTCATATGAAGATAATTGCTACTCTTTCTTTGAAGTATACGCAGAAGGAACATGATGGATACAAGCTTATATAAAAATGCATGGACGACATGGAAAACTCTCCTGTTTCTTTGTCTGATTACGAAACGCTTTGCTTTCATCAAACGGTTCTTAAAGTTGCGTCGTAAAATAAAAAAGGAAATACATTTTTTTTAAAGCTAGAATATTGATATTATGACTTGTTTGGTCGTTAATGAAGTTATTATTGCAGAAGCAATACTTTTAAGCAAAGAAAGAAAAGAGGTTTTTCAAGAAGTAAAAATTTTAATTAATGGACAATCGTTGATCAAAAATCGAATGAGAACAATTATACACTAATTTTTTGATCAAGTTACGTAGTATGAACCAGTGGTGTAACCAAGATGTTTAGACTTTTGGACTATTTTTGATAGAGTCCAAAAAACTCGTTGGACCTAGGTGGCCGAACATTAATCAGAAAATGTTTTCAACCGTTGTCAGTTCTGATACCTTCATTTTCCGTCTTTCTTGTTACCGTGTCTCAAGAGTGTGCGTATATTCTAACTAATCCTTTTGTACAGACAGATCTTATTATTCAATCACCTAAACATCTTTTGTAGACCTTGTTAGTGTTCAATTTGTAACAAATGAAGTATACATCACCATGAATAAAATAAATAAGAGTTAGGTTTTTGGGAAGTTCTTATCTGCTTAAATCCAAAGTCTAAACGTCGTGAATTTTTTTGTATACAGTAATTTAATATTTCTTGTGAATCAGTATCAATGTCTTTACGAATCTAAAGCAGCAGTAAGTCATTCAGTCGCACTTCTTTCGTTGTTGATCTCGGACATGGTTTTATACGAGCTCACGTCGTTCAGCAGGCGCAGTTGACACTGGTAAAAATATTAATAGTGATCGAATGTTTAGAAATGTGATATTATCTGCCTGTTTAATTAAATCATTTAACCACTTCTTCATCCAATCGTCATCGTCTTTAATTAAATTAATATATTTTGTCTGTCATCTTTCTAATTCAGAAAATAATTGTAATGGTAATGGTAGTCGATCAGCAAATTTATCATCTAACTGTGTATTTAGTTGTGATGTCTTTTCTTTTCTCATTAATTCTGATCTCAATATGGTTAACAACACAACTCAATGGCACAATTTCTGCTGATATAAAATACGATAAACAAGTAGAAATAATATGTTCAAAATTATTACAGCGGAAAGTTTTTGATGGATGGCTCGGGGATTCGAACTTGATACACCAACCAAAGAAAGGTTCAATCACTGAAGCGGTTATTAGATTCGTGATCAGCACCAGAAATGACTCTTAATTAT